AAATATAGTCCCAACCACTTCACTCGGTCGCGTCCTTGTAAATACTTTGATTAATGAATTGTGTTTTACATGACTACTGTTTGTATCGCAGTTACTGGCCGTGTGCACGATTACAAGAAGAAATTTTTCTAGTAACCGTGCCGAGTGTAGATGCTACGTACAAGTTTGATTGAGTTTGACCTAGGTCACGCATCCGGGTACTGAATGCCGCCATGTTTGTTGACATGTAAACTGCGCCAGCCAGCGATCAACCTAATTTCTTTGAGATTATTTTTGTATATATTATCCAACCATTTGATTTGCATCATCACCGACCAGATTTTCTGACATCTGGCGTTTATCTATTGGCATTGTTTTCCTTCATGTACACCTTATCTTAAAGGTAGGTCAGTACGTTTCCGTGTTTCACTTTCAGTACGACCCCTTATGGCTTGCTGACTGGAATTGTGCCTTGTGGTTGTTGCATGGAATAAACCGTATCACTTTTGTTAGATTGCCTATCAACATTGACGCAGGTTTCATGTATGCGATGCTTTGTGCACTGACTGCTTAGACATAACGTGCTTCCAGCGCTTTGTAAGTTTAATAACCTACATAAGTGTGACGTTGACCTTGGCCATATATCGCGCCCTCATTGGTACATGGGCACTCATGACGAACAACATCCTGGGTCCCACTGGCGGCTTTCACTTTTCTAGGTCAATATTGAAATAATCAGTATCAGTGTGAACGTTATGTTTTTACTCCCTCACACTAAGAAATACAAGGTCGGAAAGCTTTGCGTGACCTATCGTGACCTGAAACGAAAATTATTAATAATAATAACTTTATTACACTACTAAAAACCTTCAGAGGGTTTTTGTATGGTAAGGAACATAAATACATACAATACATAAGAGATAAAAATAAAATGTTAGTAAAATAAAAGAAAAAAATAAATTAATTACTTTCTGTGGTTTTAAAAATTGTGCTCTTTAAGTATTTTGCTAAAGCTATATTATTCTCCATAATCTTTTTAAATATGGAATTCACATCCATTGTGTAAATATTTATTGAACACTCATCAAACAGTTTTTTTCTTTGTTCTATATAGCCAGTACAAAATAGCAGGAAATGTTTTTCATCTCCTAATGCTTTAGTGTTACATTTATTACAGTGTCTATTTTCTAATTCTATTTTGGGCTTTGTTCTTCTAGCTAATTCTATTTCTAAGTTGTGGTCACTTGACGAATTTTGAAAGCATTTTCCTGAGGCATTTTCCGTAGTTGTCCGGGTAAGAATAATTGCCAAAAAATAGGGTTGGGCCTTTGCCCAAACATCCCCTGCAGAAAAACGAAAATTGACAACTCTCAGATCAAACTGCGATAGGGAATAGTATTGCAAATGAAATCATGCAACGAAAATAAATGAACAATATGCAACATTAGAACAAAAATAATTTATATAATGTGACAAATAAACCAGAAATAATAAAAATTGACAGTGAGGAATCATTCGAATTTAGGATTTCCTCACCGACAAACAGGCCCAATACGCGTGAACTCAAAATTAACTAAAATATCAGGGGTTAAACTGCGTAAAATTATTCCAGGTTTTGACAGATACCAGATCAACAGTTATACAATTTTAATCCATGGATTTCGCTGTCTGTTAGCTTGACACTTTTAATTTACGCCTAATCACAATAAAGAGACAAGAAAAATGGGGTCGCGGGCAAATTACTCTGTTACAATGGCACATGAAGTTTACAGTCTGTCAATCATCTTTGACCTTTAAGCATCTGCTTTACTGATTCGTTAAGAATGACATAACTACTAGTGTTTCATCATAGAGGTCAAGTCAACATCGCTTTCTTATCAGACTCAACGCTTATCAATCATGGTAAATATTATCATTCAGCTAGTTCCTGTGGTAAGAATGTCTCACTATATGGATATCGCGGTGGGCTTGAAATAGAATTTTTTTTCTCCAACGACAGAAGAATAATTTTTATGACAGAAATGCAATAGCTGTGATGAAAGATGGTAAAAAAGTAGGCAGTCCTTGGCGTGACATTGCAAAATTGCTGGCCCCAGTTATGGATTCGCAAGCTGCTACCAAATATTTTATCAAGCCAAAACAATGTGCTTTCAACCACTCTCCCAGATATGGAATGCTACAATATTGCAACATTGATTTCATTGTTGATGACGCTAAAGCCAAACAAGTGCGACTCTTGCCTCATGGCTCTCCATATACTGTAAGATTTGCTTGAATTGTTTCTAAGGAAGCACAAACCAAACAGCCCTTTTCAGGACCACAACATATTTCAAAAATAGAACTACTCTTTCTGCTTTAATTAATATACTAGTACATTTTTGACTGCAAGGAAGTCAACTGCTAATACATGTACAATGAAAAAAAAAATAGGTTTTTGTTATTTCTTTTTACAAGTGTAGAAAAAGATCCACTGGGCATATGTCTAGACATGACCTCAATTTTTTTATTGTATCAAAATTGTGGCGTGGGCGTTTGCTTGGGCATGGGAGCTTACCTGAAAACTACGGTAAGTAGTAAAAACATCACTGATATCAGTGGTCTGGGAAGCAGATATGTGATTCACACTATCGTAATTCCTGGCTCTCATGTGTGTTAACAAAAAATCATACAATCCCAATTTATTTGTATTTAGTTCAATGAAAGTACGCTCTCTATGGCAAAATCAGCTGCATCTCGAAAGTTAAACTATAAATACTGCAGCATTTTCTCATTAAATTTGGTAAATAAGTTGAAATCTATAGAGGATACTGTATTTGCTTCATTAAAAGCATTTTATCAAATAGTAAATTTTAACCAAAAATTGCATCTGATGTGTACTGAATCATGTCATTGTTGCGCAGTGTGTGTATATGTTGTTTTGAGACCCATATAAGATACTTATTTTGACCAAAGTAACACCTTTGTAATTTACATAAGTGCATGCACTACATAACTACTGTAAAATCTGTATTAAAAGCCGTGGCTTCTATTAAAATGGTACAATGCAACAGCGGGGATGCGGCTTCTATTAGAACATCTACACATATGAGAAATGGTGAATTTTTGGGTCTCAATTGTTCATAAAGAATGGGTTCGGCTTCTATTAGGGATGCGGCTTCTAATACAGA